AGACAAGCAAAAGGGAAAAAGAACTACGTAAATGTTTAAAGGTGGACAATGTGTGCTTTTTCACAAGTAGAGATGCTCTTACTGAAGCTGTTGGTGTGGAAAGAGGAGGATGAGGCAGGAGTCTGAGAAAATTGCTCTTGCCTGCTTCTCTGCTGTTTTAAGTTCTAAACCGAGAGAAAACACGAGAAAATATACATAAACAGAATTGTACCATGATGGATCTAACACTAAAAAAGTAGATCAATTACCTCTGTTCTGACTTCCAGGACTGACTTGAAGTCACTTGACATCGAAGCCAGTTTGGACTACAAACAGAAAACAGGGTGTAATTTCAAGCGGAAGTCCACTAGACATCATTACTTTGTGATTGAGCACTAAGGCCAGAGGTTAATTAATACCTGTAATGAGACTACGATGGTGTTGGAATGTGTCTGAAGATGTCTGCCATTCTGTCCACTCCGTGATCGAACGACTTCCTGCAGGCCAGCTATCTGCTTATTTAGACTGTTAATGTCCTGAGTGAACAGGCAGACAGTTATGAAACAGATACAGTATGAAATGGGCAGACAGAATAATGTGTCCTTGGCAAAGGGGAAGTAACAATCACCCTAACCTGTTTCACAATGTAAGTGAGTTCTTCGATTTCAGTTGCTTTGTCATCAAAAAGGGACTTTCTTTTGGCAACTGCAGGTGAAAACAGATTGAGTTACACGTCAAAACTGTCCACAGTGGTACATGTGTGAGATGGCGAGGGAGATGAGATACTTACGGATTGTGAGCTTCTCCAACTTGGCAAAAGTGTTGCTGAGGTCTCTTCCAATTCGCCTGTTAATAAGATGCGGTCAATATCCGTCATAAGATCAAGTCGATGAAATAACACAGACCATTAAAAGGAGGATGAGGCAGGAGTCTGAGAAAATTGCTCTTGCCTGCTTCTCTGCTGTTTTAAGTTCTAAACCGAGAGAAAACACGAGAAAATATACATAAACAGAATTGTACCATGATGGATCTAACACTAAAAAAGTAGATCAATTACCTCTGTTCTGACTTCCAGGACTGACTTGAAGTCACTTGACATCGAAGCCAGTTTGGACTACAAACAGAAAACAGGGTGTAATTTCAAGCGGAAGTCCACTAGACATCATTACTTTGTGATTGAGCACTAAGGCCAGAGGTTAATTAATACCTGTAATGAGACTACGATGGTGTTGGAATGTGTCTGAAGATGTCTGCCATTCTGTCCACTCCGTGATCGAACGACTTCCTGCAGGCCAGCTATCTGCTTATTTAGACTGTTAATGTCCTGAGTGAACAGGCAGACAGTTATGAAACAGATACAGTATGAAATGGGCAGACAGAATAATGTGTCCTTGGCAAAGGGGAAGTAACAATCACCCTAACCTGTTTCACAATGTAAGTGAGTTCTTCGATTTCAGTTGCTTTGTCATCAAAAAGGGACTTTCTTTTGGCAACTGCAGGTGAAAACAGATTGAGTTACACGTCAAAACTGTCCACAGTGGTACATGTGTGAGATGGCGAGGGAGATGAGATACTTACGGATTGTGAGCTTCTCCAACTTGGCAAAAGTGTTGCTGAGGTCTCTTCCAATTCGCCTGTTAATAAGATGCGGTCAATATCCGTCATAAGATCAAGTCGATGAAATAACACAGACCATTAAAGCTTAAGTAGGTCTGAATAAATTATAGGTCAAATGCAGTGTCTCGTGTCAATACTAAAGACAGTTGCAGGAAAAAGTCTGTAAACCCTCTGGATTTTCCAGGAAATTGGTCATGAAATTTGATCTGATCTTCAACAATAAACAAACAATAGACTGAAGTATGTGAAGCTTCAAAAGCTAACAGCAGTCAGGAGTCAGCTAAATGTTGATTCACAAATTTTAAGTCTGACGTTTAGGTCAATCACATGATGGTCTTTATTTATTTATTTTTGTTCAAATCTATTCATTTACTGACAAAAACATTCAAAATATGACTTTTTTTTTTAACAATTTCAAAAACGTCAATCTGATGATATCATAATGCACATTAATGCTTGAAAAACAAAAGCGCAAAGCACTAACATTCAAAAGTTTTTAATGTTTTTGAAAGAAGTCTCTTATGCTCACCAAGCTGCATTTATTTGATAAAAAATACAGTAAAAATAGTAATACTGTGAGATATTATAATTTAAAATATCAGTTTTCTATTTTAATATATTTTTTTATTTATTTATGTGATGGAAATGCTGCTCAAGAAACATTTCTTATTATGTTGAAAACTGTTGTGTTGCTTAATATTTTTTTGTGGAAACCGTGATACTTTTTTTCCCCCATGATTTTTTTTATGAATCAAAAGTTCAAGAGTGACATTTAAATGTCTTTACTGTCACTTTCCTTGCTAAATAAAATTATAATTTAAAAAAAAATAAATTCTTAAATAAATAAATTAAACTCTTTAAATAAACTTTGATCAGTGATCTATATATTTAAAAACATTGTCACTGTAAAAACAATGTTATTTAAGAATTAATCATTTGTTATATTATTATATAATTTTTGAGTGCATAAACTTTCATTCATAGTATTGTTTAAAATATTGCTGTGCAGATATACATATTTATTATTGTTAACATTTATTTTTTCTTTTAGTTTTCTTATTATTTTTGTTTATCCTGGTACGAGCATACATAATTGTACTTGTGACTGATTTAGAGAGATTTTGATCTTGATTTTGTTAACATGTCAAAGCAAATGTTGATTTAATGTCTATCTCCATTGTTAAAAAGCACCAATAAAAAAAATAAAATAAAATAAAAAAGTACAGTTGTAAAGAAAAGATGTTTACTTTTCTTTTTCATAGACATTCTTATATGTCACTGACTCATTCACAAAAGTCAATGCCTGATGTGAACCACACCTGGAACAAAAGAGCTCTCATAGCACCTAAGATTAAGAATTGCTGACTTGCATGAAGCTGGAAAGCTGCCTTTAACCCAACTGAGACACTTCTACATGACCTTAAGAGAGCAGCCACACCAAAGATCCCAAGAATATTGTACAACCTAAACAGTTTTGTTAAGAGGAATGGTGTCTGATGCGCAATGAACGTTGGGCTTATCCCGAAAGGAGTTAACCTGTTATTAAATTCAAGGGTTTACATACTGTTTCCACCATGCATGCACTGGGAATACTGACACAGTGTGTTAAATTAAAACAAATTATACTCACATATACTCTGTGTTATTAATTTAAGCAGACTATGCATGTGTATTGATGTGACTTGATCAGAATCCAGGTAAATCCAACATTCACATACTTTCCCCCTTGAACTTTTAGCGATTGAGAGTTTAACTCACTTAGCCAAGAGCGTGAATTCACTCCGCTGTCTGACTGCACTGTTGACAGCTCTGACAGGTTGTGCTCCATTCTGGAAAAGAACGAGAGAAAAACTTTGCGGTGTTTTTCCAACTCATGCTACCAGTATGTACACAAACTCCACTAAGGGAGACTATATTATTGAACCTATTAACCACTTGCAGGTTACTTGACAATATGCATCAGTAGTTATCGCACCTGTCTCCCCTGCAGGGACTTGCACACAGACTGAAACTCACTGGTACGGTCTCGGCAGGACATGCTGAATGTGTCTACGACAGGGGCGATGGGTGCTGGGACAGCCAGGGGGGTTTCCAGCTGCTGGACCAGCTGGGACTGGGTCTGAGACGGCCCAGTGTACACCCCGTCCTGGCTGCTTCTAGGACCGTGTCGCCGACGTGCGTTCATGGATGCACCAACTCATCACCTTATGATAAGGAAGGAGAAATCAATGTTAAAGTGTGTTAACAGCAAAACTCCCTTCCAATTTTACTTTACTTTTATTTTAATTTTACTTTTTTTTCAGGATTCTTTGATGAATTGAAAGATCAAAAAACAGCTATTACTTGAAATAACAATCTTTTGTAACATTATAAATGTCTTTACTGTCACTGATCAATTTAATTGACACAGCTGTTTTGAATAGAACACGTCTAGAAACTTCTGCTTCTCTATTGCAGTCATCTGCGCAATGTCACTGTTTTAAAAACAAAAGAATGCGCTAGTGTGGCGGTATATCATCTGCTTATCTCATTATTTTGCAATCATTTTCATACTCTTTTTATGAAAGCCAGCGCTTGTTAGCTGCTAAGCTAAACGTGTAGCTGAATATATCATTATAATGCTTTCTTCGGTCAAACAATGAAAAACGTCCCACGCGTCTGAATACATAAATAAACGAGCAGCGTTGATTTGTGAAGGGGAGATGACAACATATGAGCTGAAAGATACAAAGCTTCATTTCTCACCACTCCGCCTCTCTGCTGGTTGAACTGTGTGCAGGTTGTGAATAATATCCGGGTCTTAACACAGATATTGACATCACTGCCACGTATTCTTTAAAGGAGATCTAATATTATTGTCAACACAAGGTGGCGCTGTGAAACTATGTTTGAATTTAAGCTGATGCGGTGAGTTGAAGATATCACGCAGATGTATGGATACTGACATCATTGTTTTTTTCATGAAAGTAAAAGTTAAATTATCATGTTACACATGATTGAATTAAAATCTTTTATTAAAGCAATCAAAACATAGGCACCAGAATATGTACCATATTTGACATTCTTTCATCGTTTGTCCTTTCTTCTTTTCTTTTTCGGTTAGGGTTAATCTTATCAATTAATGCAATTGCTTACTTTTACTAGAAGCAATGTCTGTTCTTATTTCGTCTTGTATGATGAATTTGCATTAAAAACAATTGAATGAAAAAATGTTTTTGAAATAACCGAAAGAGAAAAATAATTGTACTTAAGTGAACCACAAATGTTTTTCTTAAAGCAAAATGTTTTACATAATATTAAATATAAAAGTAATGTTGTTATTATGATATTTAATATATTAGTAATTTTAGTAATACGAATTCATTTAAATAACTTGATAAAATATAAAACAACTGGTTAAATAAGCCGATTACAATTTCTGTGGCATGGATGAGTCTCCAATAAGCATCATAGTTGGTCTCTGAACCTGTTAAGAAGAAAGAGAATAATAATTATTATTATTATCATCATCAACATCCTTAAAACACCATCAGAAGTCAACTCTGCCACATCTAAATGTAAATGATATAGATATATGCTTTACCAAGGTTCTATGAAATTATACAGCAATCATTGCTTTTAATGTTAAGTCGTGAACCTGTGCATTACCTGCATTGACACTGGCTGTGTTCAACAAACGGCAGCTCAATAATCTCTTCAACATTCTGCCCACGCACATTCTTAAGCTGCTTAAACTGTAATTTTGTAGTGGGAAAAAATGATAAAATTAAAAAATAATTAAATTAATAATAATAATAAAAAAGAGAAGAAAAACATATATGATGATGAACTGAATCAATAACATTGCCATACCTGCATCACAGTGGTGTGTGTGCTCACATTCACACACAGCATAGCCTCATCAGAGCAGCAGCCTCCACAGCGCTGCAGAAGCACACATGAGGGGAAAACACCTCTGTGAATCACCTCAGGGAATTCATGCTCAACTTGAACTAACCTTTCACGTGGCTTGCAAAGGCTGCTGACATATAGTTTCCATGCTAAAAAAATATATACATAAAAAAAATAAACAACGAATGAATGGAGAACACAATATAACAAAGACACGTAATATCTGAGTTCTCTAAGAAACATTGTTGAAAACAATTATGGTCTATTCAACTTGATTCCTATGAATAGTACTTATAAACAGACCAATGAGAAAGAGAGAGAGAGTATACCTTGAACAGACTTATGACCAATATTTTGATTGTGTGGATGCTGTGGGTTAAAGATACAACAGTTTGGTTAATTTCGAGGCTTATTTATTAGTGACTCATTAATTCCAAATGTTTTTTTTAGTGTTAGGGCATTCCATTTCAGAATTACTTACAGGTGGAGTCACTACAAGGTTTGGCATAATCTGCACGTAAACATTTTGTTTTTGTCTTAATAGGGTGTATTGGCCATAAAAACAGAGAGGCAGACCGAAAACTTGTGCTACAAATTTAAATAGTTTTGTCCAGGGTCGTAAATTTCGTCTAACAGTAGGGGGGGACAATAAACATAAAATTTCTCAAGCGCAATATTTGAAGTGGACACAAGGCGCGCGGGTTGGCGGGTGGGGAGCATATTTTCTTAGCGATAGATGCTATTTACACTAAGTGAAAATAGCAGTATTTGTTTTGTGATATGCTATTTACACTACGTGCAAATAGCTATTTATACTATATTAAAATAGCAGGATATTCTGATCATTACTTATTGCCAATAGTGGCAATAATCTGCACCTCAGCATTGTAATACATTATAAAACAGTATGCAATAATAACTTATTGAGTGTAAATTTTAATTGTAATTCAAATGATTGAATGGATGCCACCTTATTGGGACAAAAGCCCTCCCTTCACCTACCCTAACCGATACTTTTTCAACTTTTTGATTATTTTCTTCATTTTTATTAAAAAATAAATGCTTGTCTGATGTGATTTGAAGTTTGAAAAGGGAGAAAAAAAGTTCGCCAAAAGGCAGATTCGAACCCGAGTCGATCGCGTCAAAAGGTGGACGACACGCGTTTTTCCATGCGCCACTGGACTGGAGCTGACGACTGGCGACTAGGGATGGGCGTATCGATCCGAAGTATCGATATATCAATACTGACGCGAGTATCGAAAGTATCGATACTCAAACAAAAAATATCGATACTAAGGTGCGTTTTATTTACCAGTGGTTTTATTTAACAAAAATAATAATAATAATAATGCGTACAATATGCATTGAATTGGACGAATAACCTTTGTTAGCGAATAATTGTGTATGATAGAACTATTTTCTTGCTCATCTGAACACACGCAAATGTTGCAAGACAGAACCAATCAATCACAGAGAGCATTCACTCACTGCTGACAGTGCATTCAAACAGGGCTGCGTTTCCCAAAAGTATCATAAGAAAGCATTAAAGCTTTTGGGAATGGCAGCCCTGAACAATGCTTATCAGAGGACAGAAAAAATATATAAATGTTTGAGTTATTTCACAATAAACAAATTGAAATTGTAGCCTACATAGTTTGTGCAATTACAATTATTTAAATTGAACGTTGAAAGATAAAATTGATTATGTTCTATTCTGTATTGTTAATTGAAATCATACACTGTCAGAATAAAAAGGTTGCATTTTATGCATGCAACAGCCATTCACTGGCAGTCCCTAATGGCAGTACAAAATATTGCACTAAATCAAAAGTTCAAATGTTACAAATAAGTTAGAATATTAATTTTGTAATACTGGTAGCACTAATATAAAAATGTGATGATATATGTTACAAAAAAGTAACAATTTTGAAATACGTTGATGGTTGTATTTTTTTGTATTTGATCTCAGTATTCCTATCCATGTTGTATAAGGGTTTTTTATGCATAATTGTAACCCTAGAATGTGATCAAACAGTTTAAAATAGCTGGGCTAAGATATATAACAATTTTTAAGACTGCAGAAATGTGTTAATTCAGTATACACATTATCCCACCGGTTACAATTGTGACTGACCATAAAATAAAAATTTTCACACACTTTTCCCAAAAAAAAAAATGTATTAATTATTTCAAAGGGTTACTAATGACACATCATTTGGATGTTTTCATGTCTGGGAAAAATTTGGGCTTAAACGGGTTAAAATGCGTTTTAAACATAAAGTTAAGTGGTTTTCATTACCCATTTTACTCTTAGTAATTTAATAATTTAATCAATTTCATAATTTAAAAGTTTAGTGCAGAAGTATCGAATCGGTATCGATATCGACGATACTGCCTTGAAAAATATCGGTATCGTATCGAAAACAAAATACGGGGTATCGCCCATCCCTACTGGCGACCGTCTTTTGTATTGTTGACTATCCCAATCACACGTTGGTGGGTGGAATTAATATAATAGCCTTTGCCAACGATTTTTTTTTTATTCCCAACAGTTAAACAGTTGCCAACAGAAAAAAAACGGGGGGAAATATGCTGCAGCACCCCCACTTCCCGCGCCTATGATGTATACACAGAGGAATGGCTTACTACTATTAGTGCAGCAGAGAGACCGTGCCAAACTACACAACTCCAAGCTGTTGTGGTCGCGCCGTGACAGCGCTCGTGTCCGTTACAGTGTTGCCAAGTCCGCGGTTTTCCCGTGGAATTGGGCTACTTTATCACTGTTGCTGGCTGCGGGTTGTTTTTCATGTCCGCGGGTTGAAGCGACCCCAATAACGTGTATTTTAGCCCCCAGAACGCGATTTTTACCGGGGGACCCCTCGAAACGCGGTTAGTTTTGAGTAGCAATTGGGCGGGTTTTGTTATGAAAACCTGGCAACCATTTCCCTCAAGCAGGTAAAGTTATTATTGCTAACATAGCGGATTTATCAAAAAATACATTGACATCATCTGTATTAAAGAGAAACTAATCACTTCATTCGATGTTTAAGTGAAGAAATTAGCCTTGACAGCCTTAACAGACTACTTACAATTGATTAAAGTATAAAACGTTGTTATTTACAATGCACAGCCTGGTTTTTAATCATATTTGTAGGGGGGACAACCCTCAGACCCCCCCGGGATTTCCGCCTATGGTTGTGTCTACATCTCTCCTGCCTAAATTACTCTAACACAGGGGTGCCCAACCCTGCTCCCGGCGATCGACTGTCCTGCAAAGTTCAGCTCCAACCCTAATCAAACACACCCGAAGCAACTAATTAGGGTCTTCAGGATCACTTAAAAATTAAAGGCAGGTGTCTTTGATTAGGGTTGGAGCTAAACTTTGCAGGACAGTCGATCGCCAGGAGC